AATATATTGACGCATACATACAGACATATACATACACACACACACACACACACACACGTATGTGTATACATGTACACTGTATACTAGGGTCGACAAATAGGTCAAGTGAATAGCTTCTAACGGGGGATCCTGGGCGTTTCTGGATTGGTTTTTGTTTTTGTTTTTTGTTTTTTTGTTTAAAAAAATATCAATACTAATGTGTAGTCTTAGATCGACTCAAAACACAATGAACCTAGTTTAATTTCTTCGATTGTTGAATAAACGTCTACCTTAGCAGAATGAACTTCTTGAATGAACTAAACCACGTATTTATACTATCTCCGAATGATTTCCTTGAGAATCTTGCCGCCAATCAAATCGTTTATCTTCTCAATTTCGAGCCTACAAGTCCATTCAACATATATCGTCTTCTGCCAACCTCCAGCTCATATTACCCTGCACTTCGGTTTGCAAAGCACCAATTATACACCAACCTCCTCTTCTTTCGAGCCTGCGCGGCCGTTCGCCAACAAACCGCACAATACAACTTAGAACTTTTCAAACTTATTAGTTTTCACACTTATAAGTTATCGCCCACACCGAAGTTTTCGCACTCTTATTAACGCCCAGGAACACTACCGAACAGTTCGGTACTTACAACGCCAACATTATTTTAAATCGGAGGTAAACATGGTTGACATTACAAATGTGGGTTTTTCTTCTGAAACAAGGTCTAATAACGATTTTGGACGTTTTTTGATGTCGGAGGGACTTCATGGGGGTCTACAAATGGGTCAAATAGCGATACAGACGTTTTTTGGCGACGGACAAAAAAATATGTCTGCAATTTTTTAAATTTTATTTTAAATTTGTATTCGTCACAAAATTATCCCCTACATAAATAATTCCCCTTCGCACTTTGAAGAGTCCATTTCTTATAATAGAACGAATTGCAACATATTTCTATCAGTAATTTCGCATACAAAAACAGCTGAAAAGAATGTCGCAAAATAATGACTACTAGTCGGTACCGAACAGCTGATGATACCTACAAAAAGTAGTAGACTTTGAATTTTCGATTTCACGCAACTTCTCGACTTCTCTCTCTGCTGGGACTCTCTCGCGATCGGGTAATAAATTGCCCGCCAAACCATATTCAAACAACCACATATACATTACACGTACTACTACTACGATTAAGTACAGACATACTAGCGATAGACATACGCAAGCATGGGAGATAGCAAAGGAACCAAGGTGTACGTGGGTAACCTCGAGCACGATGCCTCAGAGCGTGACCTGCGTGACATGTTTGAAACTTTTGGTAGTGTTAATGACATCTGGATCGCCCGCAATCCCCCAGGATTCGGATTTATCTGGTTTGAGGACTCGCGCGACGCCGATGACGCGGTGAAGGAACTGCACGACCGAGAACATAACGGAAAACTTCTTCGTAAGTTTAAATGTCTAAAGATATAAGTGGATTGTCTATGACGTGGTTGAAGGTATAAGTTTATTTCTAGAAAGTGCTTTGCGGTGCTTCTGTGAGCTGTGACCAAGTCACAGAGGACAAAAAGCCGCTCAGTTCAGTTGCTAAGTTTCATTTCCGCAGGTGGTTGAAGTGGACATGCATAGCCATAAGAATTAAGATTTTGTGTTTGATCCGGTTGTCTAGTCTATATCTGCGCGGTTTGAAAACTCTTATATGTCGAACGCTGGTACCATGACTTCATGTTTCGTTGTTTGCTTCCGTTTTTTTTGCTTCCCGTTCCTGTCGCTCAGTATGTGCACATGTCGTATGCGTTTAGTTATGATGTATAAACTCACTAGTAGCACCCCCAATCAAGTGGAATTGACCAGCGCATTTTGAAGTACAATGTGAAAGGCCTCACAGCGTTTGCGCTGTAGGCTCGGTTGAGTGCAGCAGAGCACACCAGCTGATCGCAAGTGATGAACCAACTGAGAAGTGTATAGCGTCACAACTACCACGTGCTTCGTCTGTCTTCTGCCATCGCATGGCTTGTCTGCACGTCACGAGCACCGATATACACATCGATTCGATACCATACCCGTCACCCTGAACACGCCGTCGCTTAGCAACGCGTTCGTCACCACCCTGAAGCATCTACTTCGCGTCACGAACTGTCATCGTTATACATCTGCGTCTACCTACTACAACGTCTGCGTTACTCGTGTCCCTATCAAGCATTCCGAATGTACTGCTCAGCACTACACCACGCATCTCGGCTGAAAGAGTATGGTTTTCCTCGTTCACTTTGACTGTTGGGATTGTGCTTTGTAAATCTGCGGTGCGTAGAGCGATATTGTTTTGCGAAATAAAGGTCGCGCTGTCGTGTGACATGAATTCTATTGTTCTCTGCGTTCGATGACTCTCTTTGTTATTTTTGTGTATAAGACACATCACAACATAATTGTGAGTGTTCAGCTTGCAACGCATTCGAAGCGTTTTTCTGTATATATTGCCACACATATTGAGCATCGAACCCGAGAAGGCCGGAATCAGACAGCGTATATGTTGTGTTCGTCGTTGCATCTGCTCGATACATGCGTGCGGTTTTCACGTATGTTCACCAGCTCTGTGGTATATTTATATATACACTCGGACATCCCTTCTACAATCCTAATCAGCAACATACTGCTGTCTCTGGCTCCTCGCGAGCGCCAGTCTCCTTCACCTCCCGTCTACGTACACCACCAGTCCGTACTACTTTTCCTCGCTCTCCCTTACACACCTACCTTACACACACACCCACAGGCGTTGAAATCAGCAACAGCCGCGGCGGCGGCCGCGGCCGCGGGCCCAGTGACTCGGAGTGCTACGAGTGCGGACGCATAGGCCACTTCGCGCGCGAGTGTCCCAATCGGCGCGGCGGTGGCTACGGCGGCGACCGTCGCGGCGGTGGCGACCGCAGATACGGTAGAGACGATCGTGGTAGAGGCTATGGAGGTAGAGGGCGTAGCCGCTCCCCTAGTCCGTACAGGCGTCGATCGCCTAGTCCGTACCGCAGACGCTCTCCCAGTCCCAGACGGAGGTCGCCTGACGGCTACCGCTCGCGCAGCCCACCTCCCAGACGAACGAGGTCACGTTCACCGCGCAGAAGGTGTGGTGTATTGGACGTAGCGGCGTGTGGTAGCAATGTTGGGTAGTGGACGGGGTGTTTCATGTGTAAGGATGTGTCTGAGGCAATGTGTGGGTTGTCAGGTTAGTTACTGAAGGTACGGTGTATGTAAGCATGTCTGAGTGGGGATTTGGTTGAGGTTGAGGTTGGAGCGTCTGTAGTGGCAGTGTGTGTGTGGGTTGAGATTGGATAGTTATGCAAGTTACGCATACAGCCTGCATATACACACTTCATGTGCGTACAAGTACTTGTTTCTAACGCGCATCGAATATGAGCATATACTCACAGAACTGTATTGCGGATTACTCATACTACTCTCCCGTTTCCCCCTCCACTTGTCCCCATCCTTCTGTGCGAATTGCAAGCCCAGCTTAAGCCCCAGATACTAGGCCCGATGGTAATGATACCAGCTGGCAGTAACTCGGATGCTGGTTCACTCGCTGGTACTACCGCGGATTGTACCGTACTATGTATAAGAAACCTAAAATAAACTGTGTATCAAATGAGGATGTCGTAAACTTAAAGAGACAAAACAACTGGAATCGAACGCTATTTTGAAATTTTGCATTCTAAATTTCTTTCCCGCTGGACTATTAGGCTTCTGCTTGTTCGAAGTACTTGATGGCCTGTATTATACGTCCGTGCATGTATGTATGTACGCAGACCATAATGAAATATGGATTTATTGGCTTTCTATATCTGTATATGTATGTTGGCGCTCTATATGTGTTTGTATATATGTACGCAAAGCCATAATTATACATAGATATGTTGGCTTTCTATATTTGTGCATATATGTTGGCGTTCTATATCTGTGGTTGTATATATAATTGTATATGTATATGTATATATAATTGTATATGTATATGTATATATTGTACATGGATAACCATAGTCACACACACACACACACACATATATATATATATATTGGCTTTCTATATCTGTGCATGTATGTTGGCGTTCTGTATCTGTACATGTATGTTGACGTCCAATATCTGTGTTTTTATGTACATTGTACGCAAATCCATATTCAAATATATATAGTTATATTGGCGTTGTACATCTATTGTATGTATATGTATATATATATATATATATAATACTTGCACGCAGATTCGTATATATATATATATATATATATATAA